GATCGCTTCCTTGCCATCCTCCAGTCCCTGCACTTCAACGATAACACCGCCATGCCAGATGACTGCACCGACCGCCTCTTCAAAGTGCGCCCAGTCGTCGACCATCTTGCTCAGAAGTTTGCCACTGTCTACGTTCCTCGACGGGACATTTCCGTCGATGACTCCCTGCTGAAGTTTTACGGGCGTCTCCGCTTTTCTACCTACAACCCCAGAAAGAGGGCCCGCTTCGGCATCAAGTGGTACAAGTTGTGCCGGAGCACCGGGAGTGCCGTCGGGTACTGCTACAACTTCAAAATCTACACCGGCCAAAGTAAAGGAGACTTCCCAGCAACTACACAAGTGGTGATGGACCTGGTGAACGACCAAAGTGGCAAGGGCTACAACCTTGCCCTCGACCGGGCCTTCAGCAGTCCCAATTTGTTTCGACGACTTCACAACCAGAAGTTCAACGTCGTCGTCACCGTCATGGTGAACAGAAAAGGGAAGCCGAAAGATCTGCAGTCCGTCAAGCTGAAGCGGGGCGAAACAGCGTTCCGGTCTGCCGACCTGGGTGTCAGCGGTTCTCTCCTGGCCATGGTGTGGCGAGACAAGCGCAACATCCGTATGCTCTCCACCATGCATACGGCAGACATCCGTGGCACCGGCAAGCAAGACAGGACAGGGCAGGAAAAGCAGAAACCGACCTGCGTCATCGAATACAACGCCCTGATGGGGGGCGTTGACAAGAGCGACCAACTAGCGGCTCATCATCGAGCTACTCGTAAGTCCCTCAAGTGGTACAAAAAGCTCTTCTTCTACCTGCTTGACTTGACGCTGGTGAACAGCTACGCCGTGTACCTGGCCGTTGGTCACCGCCTCTCCTTCCTCGACTACCGCTTGAGTCTTGTCCGTGAGCTGCTGTTCGATGAGCCCTTGCCCGAGTACTGCCCTCAGCACGATACTCCACCAGTCACCAACTCCCGCTTTGTTAGCCGACAATTCCCTGTGGTCTTTGAGAAGACCAGCTATGGCGACTTCCGCTACCGGCGGAGTGTCCTCTGTGCTTCCCATGGTCTGCGAAAGAAGACTTCGAGTGCAACACATGCCACCAGCCCCTCTGCATCGCCCCCTGCTTCAAGGAGTACCATACTGTCCACTAATTGACACTTTGAACATTTACTTTCATGGACATTTTCATTAACATTTTCATTGAAATTATATTTTGTGTTTTTCATGACTTGATGCCCCTCTTATCTGGTGTAAAACGATATGTCATTTACTGGTGGTTTTAGGAGTCATAGTTTCAACCTTTGAAAAAAATGAAGAAAAAGACAAAGTTTCTGGAACGTACTGCTTTGAGGATGTAGTATTTTCATCT